GCAGAGGGCCAACCAGGGGCAGAGGCGAAGGCAAGGCGATGAAGAAGAAGAGTTAATCCCAGGTTCGTTTTCGTTCGATTTCAAATTTTCAATAAATCAATCGTTCCGTTCAAGTCTTCTGTCTTCAAGGGCAACTGAGCAAGCATCGAGGGGCCTGGGATATCCAAAGGTTGGGGGCCCAATACACATAATTTTAAAAATACATGTATTTTTTTTTTTGGGATTTGGTACTTAATTTTTGTTGGGGGCCCAGGACCCCAACCCTTAAACACTGCATCCGCCCCTGAGGCCAATGTCAGTAAGGGTATAAAAGAAAAGGCTATGACTCTTAGAGACAAGATCTGTCAGGATGTTCAATATGACTAAATATAAATGGGGAATTCATTTGATATGAAAAAGAGACCTACGTGATAGGAAATAGTAATATACTATATGTGATGGGTATGAGGATGGTGATTAGGCCACCCATCTAATTGGTCATTATAAGAGGGGTATGTGTAATCACTCTTAGACCTTTGGGTGTGAGACTATGGAACGTATAGGAGTTCCATAGAGACACAATTTGAGAGTACTATGATGGGGAGCATGGTACTAGAGATATTTGAGGGAATGGTATCATGAATGGCTACAAACTCGTCAGACTGTGTGTCTATGTCCAGATTATATAAGTACTAATTAAACGTTTTATATTTTCATAAATGGAAGCAGTGATGAGATGAGGGTGAAGAAGATATAATGAGTTAGCAGTGGAATAAATCATAATTAATTCTTATGATTATTTCAGTATGAATTATGAAGATTTATCAAGATAGCTCCGGGGATCTAAGGGGACACATATTTAGCAATGTTGTTTAATGCAACAATAGATTACAGTCGAGCCCATGACTGGGGAAAGGTCAATACAAATGTATTAATGTAGCTTAGCCTGTGTGATTGTTTTGCAGTGACCGGTAGAAGTTGTGGTTGGTCTCATGATGTCGACCAATGTGATAGAGCAATATCAAGGCGATGTTAAAAAAATTGAAGTTAAGGGAAATCCAATTGTCGGGTAAGTTGGACCACGAAAATGGGTAATGGTTCCAAAAGCGACATGGAGCACAATATGATATTGGAAAGGGCTAGGAAGACTTCTAAAATAGGTTCGATACACCCATATTAACAATGTTTTTACTTAGTAGAGTTGTAAATGGGTGATAGATAAGCTTGGTGATATAATCTCTAAGAAACAACATGTTAGACTAAATCCTAAATGTATCAAATTTTGAGGGAATATCGATAAGAAAGATAAGTGGATATATTGGGAAATGTAGCATTGAATGATTAGCATATGTAGTTGATGTCGGTCAATAAAATAAGATGGTGTATGATGTACCCATGGTGTGGGCGAGTATTAAGGTGGTTAGAGATAATGTATCGAAAGTATCACTAGGTGTGAGGGTTCCTCAAATTGACCTAGTTCCAGAGGGAATACATAATATGAGAATATTGATCTAATTTTGTCGTGGCAAAGGAGCCAAATTCGATGAAAAGATTATGAAAGCCTTTGATCAAGAATTTTATTTAGCTAAGTTAACACCTTGGATAACATTGACAGGGTGAGTTAAATAAATATGGTATGATGCATGTATGCATCAATAATTTTGATGTATATGAGATCAATTACAGGAGCAAAGATTTTGCCAAGGACGATAGTCGATCAACTTCAAACATGCAGGGAAACATGAGCAATACATATGGTTAGTATGAGGGATTTTGAAAAGAAAAAAAAGGGAAACTTTGTGTTAGTTCTAAGTATGAAAGTAATTGGTGAAACACAATTTATTAGTCACGGAAGTGGGATTTAGTTGGATTAAACCAAAAACAAACACAATAATGGATTTGAGAATCCAAAGATGGGATTACATATTTGAGGCTTATGGTTTTTAGCAAACTAATATAAGTTTCAATATATATATTTCTTAAATCTACGTTAATGGGAGGTTTAACCAGGAGTCAAATAATTTTGAATTGGTTAAAGTCAAAAAGGCATTTTA